AGGAGGGATATGTAACCTTTCACATGCGTCCACAGGGTACGAATGGTTGAAGGTATTTCGTATACGGCGAGCGTGAATCCTACGACGATAGTTTCCACCGGCTGAAGAGGAAAATTCAAGGTTTAGCGCTCACCGTAGGTTTTGTTGTTCTGCTCCATGAACAAAAATGGGTCGCGTGTGATATCGCAGTGGAACTTGACATTGGGCCTGAAATACCATCAAGCGGATATAAATCACCAGAGGAATGCCTCAAAATATGGACGCACTCTACACGCCAATACCATCGGTATTTTAGCACCAACGGATGTTTGAAGAAGAAACCGGAGTTGTACCGGCACATGTTGTGGTAACTTCGGGATTCAACATTAAATTCTGCCACGGTACGGATGAGCTACGCTCACGCGAGGTTTCCTGGGTTCCATGAGCGGATTCAGATTGTCCTGTGGTGCCGTGGAAAAGCCTGCGCACCTCCATACTTCACATTCATCCTCTCCATCCTCTCCATCGCCGCCCGCGCCTTCTCCGTGTCGACCCATTCTGGTTGGTGCCAGTGCTCCCGCGGAATAACACCGAACTCGACGCGCGAGGGCGTCAATACGCGGATCCGCCTTTCCAACCGTCAGATCGATACTCAGGTAAGGAATGCGGACGCACCGCTTGAAGTCCTCGCCGAACTCTTCCTCGTTGAGGAAGACATATGGGTAGTGGTAGTGCCTGTTGAAGCGGTCTTCGAGCTGGCGCACACTCAAGAGCGCGCCCTGGAGATCTGAATTTCGGGCGAGCATTATGAAGGTCGCGTTTGCCCGCCGCTCCGGCTCGGCGTCAAATGATAGTTGTGTAGGAGTGCTATTTACTCCCGCGTCTTGTCCAGTCAACGCTGGCGCATCGCGTGGGAGTTCAACGAGAGCAAAATCCTCAACAGCAGGATCCTCCGTGAGGAGCGAGGAGTATTTTCGGTACAAGGCGACGAGGACCATCTGAGGAATTATCAGTTCTGGCCTGGGCTTGAAGACGGGGAAATACCAATGTTATGCAGGTCACCGTCACGAACCGAGGTCGCCGGTGCGTTTTTGGAATCATCAGAGTGAGTAAACGAGCACGGGGTGCGAATACTCGAGGTTGGTGGTACTTTATTATGGCCGCGTCAGCGACGCCTGACTTAGCTCCGCACCAGCCGACGTAAGCAGCAGAACAGGGGCCTAAATCGCCGAAGAGTAGCACCTCGGTAAGATGAGGATGAATGGGGGAGCGACGGAGCTGGTGAGAGCGAAAGAAGGCATGTGATCCGTGCGTGGTGCTGCGGGTATGTAATTTTAGTTCAACTGCGGTTGTTTTTAGGTCTCGATGACGTCAGCGAAGTGATTAAAGGCTCGACCCTTGGAGGCAACCTCTTCTCATCACCTTGGTACTTCAGTGCACGCACCTTGAGTAGTTTCCGGAAAATGGAATGTGAGCTTTATTGTAACACTCATGCAAGCCCCGAACAGAACAAGTCTGGCAACTTGGAGAAGCGTTTGTACGGAATCAGGTCGCGTCGATTGACTTATATCAGCTTCATTAAAACGATAATATACAAGATCTATGAGCCGAGGCGATCGACTGATACCAAGATCTCACACCATCCCCGACTCCAGCTTCTGAAAGCCCACCATGCCGACAAATCCGTCCACAGAATCTCGTACACTCTTCGACGCAGCCTTGACCAGCCCACCCAGCTGCTCATTCCACATCGGCGGAGGTGGGTCTACGACATTCGGATCCAGCCCCTCCTCCATCTCGCGGTGCAGTGGCGGGCGCCAGATGCGCCAGAAGAACAGGAACACGACGCATGAGAGCGTAACGAGCAGCGTGAGGAGCGCGATGAGGCTGTGCCCCGCGGTGCGGAGCGTGGACTCCAAAGCGAAGGCGGCGATGGCGACGGTGAAGCTGAGGACAGACCACTGGAGGGTGGCGAGCGGGAGGGCGAGGAGGCACGCGGTGAGCGTGAGGCTGAAGGCATTAACTGTCGTGGGCATGCGCTTGCGCAGCCCGAAGAACGGGAGAGAGTAGATGTAGTTCATCTACTGTATGTGAGCTCGGAGATGGCGTATTTGGAGTTTGGGACGTACGGCATCCTCAATCTCGGCGTCGGTCTTCTGGCGATGCCGCCAGACGTGATATAGGCCGGTGACGATGCTGGTCATGGCAAATAAGGAACGAGACGAGCGAGCATGCGCGTTGGAGGGCAGTGATACCCTGGGTATTGTTAGTTAAACAGCAGTCTTCGAAGGAAGGAAATTACTGACGGGGACAGCGAGGAACCCTACGTTCACGCTGGGGAATAGTGTGAGTGCCAACTACGATTGGAGCAGTAGAATACTGACGATACAAAAACGGTGGCCACCAAGTTGGAGTCTAGCGCGCACGTTGAGATACATTGCGCTTGAACGAAAGAATGGCACTCACCCGCCCACTCAGCCATCATGTTCTGCATCAAGCGCCGGAAATACGGAAGGAAGACGTGATTGTTGGGGACCGTGCACTCGAGGCGCGTGCGGTAGCTCTTGTGCGTGCCGCAGAAGATCACACCGATTACCATATCCCATAAAATCACCTTCCACGTTGACTCGGGGATCGCCAGGTCGCGGTACAGGCGCGCGTCAGGGGTTCCGTAGCCGTACGCCACGCGCGCTTGCTCGATGGGGTACATGACCTTGGCGATGTGGTAAGCGAGCGTCGGGACAAGGGCCACCTGGCTGGCTGAGGCTGTCGTTCATAAATGATGATTGGGAGAGGTGTGCAACTCACCTTTCAGATCGAGATATACTTGTGTGAGGCGCATAATCTGCTCGTCCTTAAATGGGGATGTCGTCGTTTTCTCGTCGAGGACGCGTTCTGGAGGGAGTGTCAAATATCAATGGGTTTAGGGCAACATGGAGCTCACCGTTGGCGCCGAACGCCAGTGCACTCACGAAATACGCTTCCATGTACGGGGGGAGATAGGTGCGATGCATCGGGTACTGAGAGATATAACGCCAGAAGTCGGACTTGGACTTTTGAACGACTCCTGGAGCGTCAAAAACAGATTAGACGATGGGCAACAGATAAATGGCAGCGCAACTCAACGTTTCTGGATGGGATCATACTTCTATGTCCGGCTCCTGTACCACGATGCCAGTTCGATACAAGGAATATCTGACTGCTTCCCAGGCGTGTGATAGATTAGCATCTCCGCGCCGTCGGGTGAGCGGTAGAACTGGTTGATTTCGTGCAGCCAATGACGGTGGTCATGGTATACCTTGATGAGGCGCCCGAGGAACAGAGGGTTGGATATGTTCTCGGTCGTCAGAAGGGACATTGCGGTATTATGGTAGTATATCGATCCATTGAGATGCACGAGCTCGGCCCACCCGTCGGGGAATTGGGGCTCCCTGTGGATTTTGTTTAGAGGTCTCTCGGGCTGCAGAGAAATGGGAGGTGCGTACTGGATGGTTGGGACAAAGGCGGTAGAGAAGCTTTCAGAATTCGCGTCTTCGTCTTTAGGTTGCGACGGGGCGGCCATGGAGGACGGGGATCTACATGGACCCACCTAAATACACGGACGCCTGCCGAGATTTGGGAGAACAATGTAACCGTTGCTGAAGCCGAGGGCACGAGGAACCGACATGACGATATGACCAGCCGTAGTTCCGCGGAGCTGGTGAAGCAGGCCGAGACACCGTCTGTCATTCATTCAATCGCTGGCGAAGAGTCGGCGAGAAATCGTTGTTAAGAGAGACAAGCGGGGACCAGCGCCGCCTTGTACTTGCTGTGAAGTGTCGGATGTAACGTTACCTCGCCGTGACATGGTGGAGGCAAATCCAAGCGGGAACAAGCGGGACCAAGAGGGAAAGGACCGATGGTAGTGCATATAAAGGCCTGATTTTTTTTGGGCCTGAATGTCAGGACGGATTTGAAATTTTTTGACCGTTTTGTCAGGAATCGTGGCAGGCCTAAAATTTTTTTTCGGCGAATGTCAGGACGGTCAAAACAGGCCTAAAATCGGTTCAAAAACGTCAGGATTTCCCCCACAGGCCTCGAACGCGCTCAATTTGTCAGGAATCATCCCAAAAACCTCGCCGCAGGCGCTACTACTCTGTCAAAGTGCTATTACATGTAATTAAAAAAGCTTCTCGCGCCATGCTTAATGCGGAAACCTGTATCGGGAGCTGTCGTGGGGGTGATGCGAGCCTTTTCCGAGAGAAGATCTGCGGCAAACTGTAAAAATATTACGCGCACACAAAGCAGAAAAGCACCGGAAAAATGACGTGGGGGGGAGTCGAAACCACGACCAAGAGGCGACTCTGAAAAGAGCTGACATCACAGACCACTCGGGCAGGCTTCCATGTCAGGACCATGCATCAGTCTCCATTGGAGGCCTAGATATTGTCAGGATTGGCCACCAGGCCGTCTGGGCCTCGGGCGGTTTTTGTCAGGATTTTGACCAGGCTAAGAGCCCCAAATCTCAAAATTTTGTCAGGATTGACATCAGGCCGACAGGACTATTAGCATCGGTCCTAGAGGGAACAAGGCAGGGAAATGATGTGATCAAAGTGCGATTCACACGCTGTCCTAAAATAGCTGTCCACAGAAGGACGCTTCGGATGCAATGATGTACATCTCTTGAGTCATTTTTTGAGACAACGCGCACTTCCAACACGCAACGACGAAGGAACCGAATCAAGAGTGGTGCTGGCTTCACCTGGGCTGGGACTATTACTGCATTTTCAAAGACGGAAATCGATTATTTTGATTACAATGCGTTCCAATCGAAGTACAGGTGACGCTGCTGGACCAAAGGAGACCAGAGTAATATACTTACATACTAGCATCCATCACCGTTCATCATTTTATAGTGAATTTTGTCTCTTACGACTTGCTTACGACTACGTCATTTAAGCTTCTCAGTGCGAGGAAAAACCACCCGTAACAAGTACGAGGCCGCTACGGGCCAGGTAACCAAAGAGAGGAGTCGCCTCTCAGTCACTATAGCTCAGTGGTTGAGCATCCGATTGCAAAGTTGCTGTTATCGGGCGGTCCCGTGTTCGATCCACGGTAGGGACTTCCTTTTTGCCGTTATTTTGCTCCTCGCCTCTACCCAATATTCGTGCGCCGGTTCATACCCTCCACTCTGGTCCCTCCCATGTCAAGCCTGTAACGTCTGAGGACCCACCGGCGGATCTGCAAATAGCCTAGGGAGCGATACAGCTCATCGTATCCGAAACTCGCAGCCTCAAAGCTTTAAAGGCGAGTCTCAATCAGAGTGCATCCCTTGGCGCTCAACGAACACAGGATACATGGTAAGTCATTATCAACGCTCAACTCCTCCAAGGAAGGCTTCGTGGATCAAGGTAGATCGCTCTCCCCGTATATGCCAATCCACGAGAGAGATGCGGGTTCGAACCCCGCCGAAGCTCTAGGCCTACTTCGGGACATCGATTTTTTAAATTTCGGGTCACCGTTCCCCATCTATTCCGCCGAAGGCACCACTGGCAGGCGATCTATACTCCCCTCCTGCCCGACTGCCCTGTGTTTGCAACGCTCGTTCAAAATCTGCAATGCTCCACCTTCTCAGCATAGGATTTCAACAGCTCGTAGTCCAGGCTTTCGAAAATTCTCGAAAAGATCCAAAATCATATCTGGCGAGTGGTTGTTGGATCCAGATCATGAATTTTGGGTTTATAGCGAAGAACATCGGCACTGAACTTATTCGAGACCCCGGAATGTTTTCATCTCAATGCGAGCCCATCAGCCAGCGGACTTAAAGCTCAAACAAACAGAGCTTGCTACCGGCGCATTTTACTGCAAGCCACATCTCAGATTTGAACAGTTCGTCCAAATTGATACGAGGTCTCGCTGATAAAACCATACGATGCACAGTTTATGATTGAGTTGGTTAGTACGCGCACGGATTTGGCGAAAGGTATACTACTAGCACAACGGAAGGCCGCGCGCAACGCCGACGACACGTCCGCAAAGGCATGAGGCACGATGCCGCAGGCTCGCCAACATCCCCAGTAAGTGAGCTGCGGCAGCGACAGCAAGGAGCGCATTGCAGCTCTGCGCTGCCCGCACCATCATCTCGAGGTGGAGGGATGACGGCCGTCAGCCTCGCGTCCCGCTCGCCAGACCAAGCCAACGCTGCGGACAAGCTGGGGCGCAAGCCCCTCGCCGAGCCCTGCATCCCCGCCCACCCAAGGGACCACAACCGCTCCGCCCACGCCCGCCCCAATATCGGTGCATGCTCCCCGGATGACAGCCACGACACGACCCCCGCCGCGCGCAGGATCACCGCACCCTCCGCATCTTCACATCCCTGCCTACACCCCCGGGCTAATGGGTCTCGCAGCGCAGCGGCTCGACGTCCTCCTCGCGCTCGCGCTCGACATCACAGCCCGCCGCATCCGCAGCCGTGGCGCCCCTCGCGCCCTCGACGCGTGCGTCCTCGTCGAAATCCGCGTCGTGACCCCCCTACGCGGGCTGCTGCGCCGCCGTCGTCGCATCCTGCACCCCGCCTTCCATAACGCCCACGCGCCCACAACGCGTCGCTCCTCGCGCCCTCGCACGTCCCCACCTCTACCCACGGGCTGCGGCGTCGCCCAGCGCGACAGCACTGCTCGGTGCCGGCGCATGGCTCTCCACTCCTCAACGAGGCGCTGCTCAGCATCCTCCCCCTCAACAGCGCGCGCACACACCCCGGCGGCGACTCTCCTCCTGGGACACCGCTCTCCCCATTCCCCGCCCCACGCCGCCGCCGCCCTCCTCCTCGTGGTACGCCTGACGCAGCCGTCCTCTCCCTCCGCGTCGAGTCGACGGCGCGCTCCGCATGGGCTCCCGCAGCGCTCACCACGCACTGCGGTCCTCGTCCTCGTCCTCGTCCTCCCAACACCCCAACGCGCTCCACACTTCCCTCGCCGGCGTTAGCGCATCCGTCCACCCCGTACACGTCATCCTCGCGCCACATGCGCACATCCGCGCACCATCCTCACCCGCAGTGCGCGCGCGCGATGCCCGCGACCCCAGCCCCACCACCTCCTTCTCTCCCCGCCCACGCGCGCGCATCCCCACGTCCCCGAAGCCCCACAAACGCTCCCCTAGGCCCCGTGGCGCCCCCACGACGCCCCCACGTCCCGCAACGTCCCTATCACAGCGAGCACGGACGTGGCGAGCTGCACCCCATCCCACCTCGCCCGCGCGCGCTCCCCGTACCCGTGCATCCTCACGTCCCCGCAGCTCCGCACCCCCACCCGCGACGCCCTGCGTCTCCGCCCCTCGCACCACACCCGCCGGGACCCCAATCCACTCCCGCGACTCGCCCCTGTGCTCGTGCCCCCCACCGCCCGCCACCGCCTCCCTCCGCACGGCAGCGCTAACAGTCGGGCGCGCGCCCGCGTCCGCAGCCGCCCACGTACCCTCCGTCCCGCGGCCGCAGCCATTTCCCCGAGGCTCGCAAAACGACGGGACGACGGGACACGTCAGCGCGCCAGGATGGGCGCGCGCGAGCAGCATGCACATCCTTCCCCGCCCAAACACGGACACGGACACGGAGATAGCGACCGCGCCGCGTCGACGACCATCGCAAGGAACAAGCGGGGTCGTACATACGTACACCACATTTCTGCGTCCCCCGGGGAGCCAAATCAGACGACGGACGAGGCTACACGAGGAGTATCGGTGTCGGCGGGCAAGAGAGCGGCGCCTGTGCAGTCCGTAAGCCGCCCTAGCAGGAGGGAAGGAATGTGGGATGTGGCTTCGTCTTCCGCCGCCAGCTCCACGTCCGCACGGCCACGACGGGGCGGGCGCGCTGCATGCCACGGCGGCGGCGAGCGCGTCACCACCGCCGACCGTGTACGCCTGCGCCGAGCTGCCAAAAGAGGCGACGCGTACGCAGGAGCATGCGCGTCGTCATGCTCCTTTCCCGCCGGCGCACGGACGAAGATCTGGGGCGCGCGGAGCATCCCCATCCTCCCTTGCTCGCCCGGGCACGGAGACCCAGACAAGCAGACGACAGACGGGACGGCGCGCGGCCCGTCGGCGTCAGCGCAGTGGGCGGGCTATTCCTGCTCCACATCAGCGCGAGCTGGGACGAAGATGTGCGGGAATAGCATCAGCGCCGGGCTTGGCGGAGTGTGGGGAGTACTCACTCCGCAGCTCCTCCGCCGTCCGCCCCCACCTCCGGCAGCACGCACACGAGGCCACGAAATGAGACGTCCGCGCGCCAGGATGCGCGCGCATCCTCCCCCACCGAGGCACGGACACCGGGGTGGCGAACGCCCCCAAGTGAAGATCTGCATCCCGGGTCAGTGACGATTGCAGGCAAAGAGCGGGGGCGCGTACCCTCTCTTCACGGACCCGCTTCTCCCCGCGCTGACACTTCTCATGCGCATGCCGAGCGCGACCGCGATGAAGAGAGCGTGCGCCGCCACGTCAGCGCGCCGAAATGGGCGTACGCAGCCTCCGGGACTCATCCTCGCCGGGGCACGGACAAGGGCATGACGACGCCCACAATCAAGATCTGGGTGCCGCGTCAGGGACAATTGCAAGGAAAGAGCTGGGTGCGTACCCTCTTCATGGACCATGTCCCATGCCCATGACAAGCGCGAACGTGAGCAGCTGCGCGCGGCCTTCGCAGCGGACGGCGCGCGCGCGTACCAGTACTCTCTTCCTCCTGCGCCTCCCCCCGAGGCACGTACAAATCCACGAGCGGAGCTGTGAGGGGCGTCAGCGCGTTGCTCACCGAAAAAGAGGAAGGCGAACCGTTCTGACATTAGAGCAGCGAGCGTCCAAAGCGACGTGGACCCCGGCTTGCTGATCCCCGATGAGAGTGCGGGTACGACGATAGATCCGCGGGGCGCGAGCCGCGTCAGCGACGCGGCGTGCCACAAGGCCGGGGGCACCAGGCCACAGTGATAACGAGCACGGTGAGAATCTTGGACACCAAGGCTGGGGGGCGTACCGCTTTCGTCGTCTACAGCCGATTCCACAGCGTCGCTTGTTCGCCCGCGCCCATGGGGGACGCGCCTGGGTCGGCACAAGCACGGAGAGCGTGCGGGTGCACACACAAGATCTGCGCGAGGAGAGTCAGAAGCGACCGTGCCAGCAGACCTGAGTATGCCGCCATCGTCACGGCGTGTGTCGATGACGTCGTCCACGCTTGGGCGAAGCGCGCATTCGTCGTCCTCAGAGTCCAGTCCAAGTCCAGATGGGTCGTCACAGATAAGGGAGCTGGGCCGGTAGTTAATGTGCAGAGAGGATAGCTAGCGTTTATTTGCGCATGTGATGACAACCCGACTGATCCAACGGCTTCGTTCAACTTGTCCACTTCGACGCACCGCCGAGACGGGAGCGCCGAACACCGGATCGACACGCACCGACTCTCGATGCTCTCCAGCTTTATCACGCAGAACCTAAATCTCGGAGCTCCTGGGACTGAACACTATGCATGTTCACTTCCGCTTTCTTTCTCCTGCCAAGGACGGCACCGAGGCGACCGCGGTCCGTGATGAGCATGGCGGGATGGATAGCCTGAGATGTCTACCCACAAGGCTTCGTGGATCACGGTGGATCGCTCTCCTGCGGTGCCAGAGTTGTTTGAAATTTAAAACACGTACGAGAGAGACGCGGGTTCGACTCCCGCCGGAGCCATAAGCGAGGGCGCTTCAATTTTTTCGTCTCTCTTCTTGCCTTATTACCATAAATATGCCACGTACCCATCCGTTATACGGATCCTCGCGGCATTAAATATCAAATTTGAGCCAGGTATTCTGCTTGATCCCCAAGTTGGATCCCAACATTAACATTTGCGGACCAAGTCAACTTGGCCAAGGGAGGTACATTTATTCAACCGCCCGCTGGGGATAGCAAGGCTTCGTGGATCACGGTAAATCACTTTCTGGGTATTTCGCTGCAGCCTGGAGCTTCGCGAGAGAAATGCGGGTTCGACTCCCGCCGAAGCCATCCATAAGCACTGCGCGGCCTTTATTTCATCCTCCTTCTTGCCTTTTTGCCATGCACCATCCGGATTTTCGTGTGAATCCAGTTAGTGTGCCAGCGGCTCATCCCATCTAGTATGTCCAAAGTCACCCTCGAAGCAAGGCCACAAGAGTGCACCCATTTATCCAACCACCCACTGTGGATAGCAAGGCTTCGTGGATCACGGTGGATCACTCTCCTTCTATAAAATATTCGTTGTTTTCAGTAAGAGAGAAATGCGGGTTCGACTCCCGCCAAAGCCATATAAACGCGCTTCCGTTTTTTCGTCCTCCTTCTTGCCATGCAGATGGCACTCATCCATCCGAATTTTCGTGTGAATCCAGTTGATGCGCCCGACTCCCGAGGCTCAACCATGTCCAACTCGCTCCGCATATGCGAGGCGGAATACAGCGCACCCATTTATTCAGCGCCCCCACTGCTGTCATGAAGGGTTCGTGGATCACGGTGGATCACTCTCCTGTGACGGCGGCGGGATGATACGTTATGAGAGAAATGCGGGTTCGACTCCCGCCGCAGCCATGGAATCTCTGCGTTACACCGTTTTTTGCTCCCCTTTTTGAGCCTGGATTCTCGCGGCCAACGCTTCCTCGCCAATACTTCCTCAGGCTCTGCGTTCGCAAAAGTTCACAATTTGATCGCTCTTAACCAGAAATCATGCAAACAAGTGCATCGGCCTAGTCAACCCCACAGCGCACTAATGACGGCTTCGTGGATCACGGTGGATCATTCTCTTCCTGTGTATGTGCACCAGAGGCTCATCCCATCTACACACAATGGGCGTCTCCCAAGTCGCTGACGCCCTCGACGAAGGTCACAAACAGCGCTGGTATTTATTCAGCTACCCGAAGCCATATAAGTGCACCTCCGTTCTTTCGTCCTCCTTCTTGCCTTGCTGCCATGCATATGAGTCGTGACGGGCACCGATCCGGCTTTTCGTGCGAATTCAGTTCGGTGCGCCAGAGGCTCATCCCATCTACACACGAGATGGGTGTCTCCCAGGTCGCTGATGCCCTCGACGAAGGTCACAAACAGCGCTGCTATTTATTCATCGACCCTAGCGCTATAATGAAGGCTTCGTGGATTATGGTGGATCACTCTCCAATTATTATTGAGCATCCGAGTATGTTGCGCTACAGGCATGTACGACGTGGTTGTTCGGATTTGGAAACTCCATCAATTGTTGTGAACGTCTACGGGTGTGTCCGTCGATGGCGGAAAGAATGGTTACTCGAACTAATTTAGGGGGAAATTGACACCAGTGTGCATAGCTTTAAACCCTGGGGCAATATGACAGTATTGGCGCCTACAAGCAGTCAGTCAATGTTGAAATTCTATATTGCACCATTTGACTCTGAAAAGAGCGCACATCCCCCATTAATTGAAGCTGTTATGTATTAAATGCAACTGGCTGGCGTTCGCCGCTCCTCTTCCCGCGAGACATCTTAAATTCGCGATCGAGGAACGCCGTACCCGGGTTGTCGCCGTACCGTCACCCGGTTAGGACTTAGTTCTAAAGCAGAGTCAGTGTGGTTCGACTGGAGCTGGAGCCTGGGCCGAACGCGCCGCGCCGAGTGAAGCCGGATCTTGGAAAGGGTGTAGTGCCGATGCCTCGCGAAGGACGAAAGAAGAAGGAAGAAGGGAGAAGTGATACCTGGGTGAATCGGATGGATGTTGCTTCTAATAAGGATCTCCTCCTCCCGATCCAACAAAGTTGAACGTTAACACCGGGCTTCCCTATTTCCTTTTGCCCAATGAATTGAGTCAATCAAATATTTATAGAGCGCGCGTCGCAGGTGTCACTGGTCTAGCCGGGAGGAGTTCGTCGAGCATAGGAACTCCAAGGTGCGTCTGAGGGACTTTATTTATTTTCCTACAATATTACCACCCCGGAGATGATTCATGATCGACACTCTCGTCGGAGGGAAGATTGAGCTTGTGTAATAGACATAAGTAAGTTTTAGTAACTAGCAAAATCTCCTGCATAAATAAATGAACAAGAACATGAGATAGGTCGTCGAGGTAGAAGCTCAGCCTCGATGAGTCATTGTGGGCGATCCTGTGCAAGATCTGGCAGGTTAGTCGCAGGATATCGGCGCTCGTCGAGTGTAGTGTATCGGAGGGAATTTTCCTCCATTATAACTCTCGCTCCCTGTTCGGCTTTTGAGGTGATCCACGATTAGTACTCTCGTCGGAGAATTTCCTTTAACCTAATAGACATAAGTAAGTTTAGTAATGACAACCTGATTTGTTTAATTTTCTAGCTATGGGGCATTTGCGGCGTTCAACGCACTTCGGGGACTTGAGCCAGTCAAGAGCAGCGAGATTGTTCTGATTCAAGGGACTGATGGCCTTGCGACGTAAGTAGTTTGCCTGTCTCTAATTCAATTACTGACCGCCCCCAGGTTTGCGTTGCAATTGGTAGTGGCTGTGGGCGTCGAAACAATCGTGACATCATCTTCATACACTGCGGGTAATTACCGTAACGGTCAAAAACTGACTGCTACTGTAACGGTTGACTACCGGCTGCCCACCGGTTGGTCATTTCGGCGCGAACGGCACGAGAGATCACATCTGATCTCTCGTTTGATCCGAAAAATCTCCGATATGCCTTCTCTTATTATATCCTTTTATTATTGAAGTTGTGTGGGCAAATGGTCAGTTAAAAAAACCGGGCCGGTGCCCAAAATCGACCCCAAGACCCCCCAACAGCGTGGAGTCCTCATGTTATGCCAGAATATAAAAATAGATCACAAAGAGAGATCAAAATGTTGTGATCCCTCACAAGGAGGATAAGCAAATAACCTATGGTGAAACATTGAAAAGATATGGAGAAAATATTTACAATAACTTTTGCATGTCTGTTGACCAGAGTATTCAGAAGATACTCCAAGGTTATTCTAATCTAAGCATATCTTTTGAATGTTCCCAATGTTTTTTCAAAGTCCCAGTGCTTACTGTCGTTTGCTTAATTCCGTGAAAACGCGAAAAAGTTTCGCAGCCTCACGTGATCGTCGGCAGACGATGCCGAAGTTCGAAAATGTTCAAATCTCTCTTATTTCCAAGGTGTCGGGGTCGAAGAAAATTCTACCAGCTTTTTCATGCTGCAAACTCCTGTCGAAATCCCTTTCCCAGTACTCCAGGTGCACGGCTCTATTCGGCATTGTCTACCGACGATCACGTGAGGCCGCGAAACTTTTTCGCGTTTTCACGGAATTAAGCAAACGCCAGTAAGATACACAAAAGGTATTGTAAATATTTTTTCCATATCTTTTCCATATTTTGGCGTCAGTTATCTGGTTATCCTTCCTGTGCCTGCCGATGTGCCGAAAGTCCCAACCGCTAATCGACCGGTGCGCGACCGGTAGGCAACTGTCACAGTGACGGTTGGCTTTTGACCGTTATGGTAATTGCCCGCAGTGATACGAGACGCTTCTGTAAGCCAAGGTGCTCGGGGCCACGTTGAGCTATAAGACGACACCGGGGTGGGATGCGGAGACGAGGAACTTGACCAACGGAGTCGGGGTCGATCTCATTCTTCAGGTGAGTGCAGTACTGTAGTCCGGGGATGAGCGAGTATCTGATTTCTGAGCGAAGCTCAGGAGGACCCCTGACAATCACGCCAAATGCTGTTCCAAAAATTCTACAGATCCTTCACTTTTTATCCGCACCCCTACAGAACTATAGACCGGAAGTACAATTTACAGGCCGTTACAGGCCCTGGCCCTATAACCTCCCTCAGTGTGTAGAACTCTCCTTGACCATCTAAATCTTCCGACGTCATAATCGTGACACAGTCATCCATCCCCACGATTGCCCCTTTCATGCAATCGCTACGACACCCCACTACCAAATTATCCAAAGCTGTTGGTCGGATGGAAATCCACCCCGCACGACCATCCCTCACAAGTGAAAATCGTAGTATTCAAAGCAACTATTTTACATGGAGGGACATGGAAATAAACGTGGAAATAAACGTGGAGGTTTGCGGACGCAAGTTTAGTCGAGTCGAACTCCGTAATCGACAACCATCATAGGGATGAATCTAACCGCATAAATCAAGACTCAAATACAACGGTGAGCCATAAGATAGAACTTACCACGACCTGCGGGTCGTCAGCCACTGCCAGGCACTTGTCGCCGTTTTCTGAACCCAACGAGACGCAGGCTGCAAGACACCCGTGACCTTAGCCAGAGCCACGGCCCCACCACCAGCGACCGCAACCCCCACAAGAGGGATAGTCACAAAGTGAACCATCCCGACGGATTGGAGGAACGCAAACAGACTTCCAGCAGCCACGTTTCCAATAGCGGCCTGCCAGCCCGCGGCGATGCTCCCTAGGACATTTTGAGCAAAAGCTTCCCGCATTATGCAGCCAAACTCCTACGTACCTGCAATGGGTCCCATCGCGCCAAATCCAATCACCGCCAGAGGGTTGATGATGAGCACGATTCCGACGATGGTGGCCAGAGACCAGAAAATTTCCCAACGGTGCGCCTTAATAAACGCCATCACCGCTTTGGCGACTCGCACCAGATACCCCTTCTTGACGAAATCTAGCAGCATGGCGATCTGCCCGGCACGCAGCGGTAATCTTTCGACCAACTTTTGGAGAAAGGCGCTGTCACGGGTGGCGAGGGCGGCATTCCTGGTGGCTGCGTTGCTGGCGGGGTAAGAGGGTGAGCTCGTGGTGGCAATTGCAGCGGCGAGGGTGGCATTCCTGGCGGATGCGCTGCTGGCAGAGTTAGAGCGTGAGCTCGTGGTGGCAATTGTAGCGTCTACGTCCGGACTCGTGGAGCGGGAGGAGGCATTTTCCACGAAATTGGTTTTACCAGAGAATGAGGACCGGGACCGACGAGAGGGTCTTGGTGCGGAGGACATGGTCGTGGACAAGTTGTGGGCGCAGAGATCAATATGTATACACAAGTCCACCATGTGTTAAGCGGCCGTTATGTAGACGGGGTGA